ATTTATTGTCCTTGGATTTCCATGTAGATACTGACAACTTAATTCCAGGGTGACTAATAAAGAGTGGAGCAGAACTGGGGTCTCCTGAGCTCAAGCTCTGTGGCCTGAGAAGTTCCCCAGGGTTATGAAGCAGGTTATGTGAATGGGTGCGTTATGTTAAAGACTTCATGACAGTGTGGACTAAGTTATAGTTATAACTTTACACTAAGTTATAGCGTAGAGTGGTAGGACTGCGTGATTCCATTGCTTCCTTCTCTGCTGACTTTTCAGAAGGCAGTTGCACATATAGGCAGTGGATTATCAGAGTTACTGTGCCCAGCCCATGGGTATAAATATTCTGGTTTAATTAATGGTTCCTTGAAGAGCAGAGCTTATTCTGATTCAGAGCAGAAAGGAATTCCAGTCATTGAGGTGGGAGATGTTTAGTTTATTGGTGAGGAAAAGGCGAGATGAGATGGTATTACCATACTGGTCTTATGACTCGAGGAGGAGAGCATTTAAACAAACAAACAAACAAACAAAAACTCTGTAGATAGTAAACTGAGTATTGAGTATCTAGGAATAATTTAGGAATGGAGAGACAAAGGCACATTTCCCTGGATTTTGCTCTTTTCTGCAGCCCCTAATAATCTCAAAATCCATTCTTAGATTTATTTGTTCTGGATGACTTAAATCACTTCCATAAAACCGAAGAACAATTGTGTCTCTCACCTATCCCATCACTTCTCATTAAGGATGCCTGCACCAAAAGCTGGAACACTAGTGTTGAAAGTATGGTGGGTTTTGCTAACATCATGCAAACCACCTACCTGTGGATAGGTGGAGGAAGCACCTCCTGTTCTTCCTTTCATTATCCACTCTTCTTTCTAGCCATATAGTGCTGCGGCTGCGAGATTGCCACACTGTTGTTTAAGCTTCCCATTTATCAAACTCAATGATAAACACACTGAGATGGTATTTTTTAACTCTCCAGTGCTGCCAATATTAAGCTTATATAGTGAGTTAATAATAATAATAAATTAACTTGAAGAGGAGAAAGGACTATTCTGGACTTTTTCTGAAATGCAGGAGTTGCAGATTGTGTCTTTCAATACTTGACTGAATGCTGCTCCTGCATCATATTTCTCCCCCTCTTCTTTTTTAGTATAAAAAAGTCTTTGTACATCTTGATGTACACATGACTTGACTTGCAGGAGTGTCTGTGTACCTGAAAATAAATAGTTTTCATGTCCATCCATTGATCTTGGTAAGTTTGTGTCTTCTTGCAAACCTATTCGGTTATCTTCAGACTGATTAACAATTTTGGTACTACAAAGTAACTTCCTATTTGATTTTTTATTCTGTCTAAATATTGTTTTATTGGTATTTGTTGTGTGCAATTAGATTTTAAAAAACGAACGAGGAAGTGGTTCTCTGAGCAGCAATGTCCTGATTGTGCGGGGTCCTGCTGGTGGCCCCCTCGCCACTTCCCTTGCATGTGCAGCACAAACCCCTTGTCCACTAGTGTGGATCAAGTCCCTGCTGCCAGGAGCTCCAAAGCTGCCAGTGCTTCAAGCTGTCAAAATGTCTAAATGTTTCAGTACATCTCATAACTCTCCCTCCCTTTACTGTGTTTCCTCTATTGATCTCTAAAATGTTTTCAGGACTAAGTTGCCTTTTCTTCTGTCTTATTTGTAATGCATTTAACATCTCACTGCTATTGTGCTTTCATCCTGCCTGTGTTCATCTTCAGTGTGAACAGCTGCTGTGACTTTCTACCAGTTGAAGGCAGTATGAACCATGTCATCCTGACTAAGTTGAAGTCCTGTTAAATTTGAGTATCCTATGTCAACTAGTACAATATAGGAAATGAATTAGGACATGAATTCTAACTAAAAATAAATAAATAAATAAAATTTGTTGTACTGAAGCTTAAAAATTCTAGTTGATAGTGAGTTGGGTAAATGTTATACATTAGAAGAACTACTTTGGTCTAAATAATGGGAGAAGCAAAGCTCTGTCTAGCCTCACTCCTGTAGTTCTAGCTTCTTATGAAATGGAGTATCAGGGAAGGACTTATGGGAGGAAAATAACCTTGTGGTCCTCACGTTTAGTATTACTCTGTTCAGTTTTACCTAATCATGAGATAGGCTACATGACTGTGTCCTTCCTTTCTAGCTGATGGAGAAAGGCTGACAGCTTGAGAAGAACAATAATGGTTTCACTTAACAAGTCCGGTGTCATGGTGTGAGGTGAATCAAGTTTGCCCTAAGATCAGAAATTAGATTCCTTTAACATTTGCACCTATGCATAATTTCGGAAGAGTTAAAACAGTAATGCCAGCATTTCCTGTGCCTGTTCAGACACAGACATGAATTCTTCATTTGTCCTAATCTCAATCCAAGGAGTTGTTTCAAAATTCTTCTTACATAGTTTCTAGCATATTGCTAAAATTAGTGCTTTACTGCTTCATATCTTGATTGGCAGTGTAAAAGCTAGATATGCTGCTGCAAGTACTTTTAAAAGTGGAGTGATATTGCTGATATTACCATGGCTGGGTGATGGCTTCTTGTTTCCAAAGCTCTGGTTGTGTATCCTACAATTCCTCGTTACAAGGCTTAATGTAATAGGGAAGACTAAAATCAAACAAACTCAAAGGGGAAGGCAAAACAGTATCTGACAAACTCAAAGGGGAAGGCAAAACAGTCCATGAAGGTCTGCCATGAAGGTCTTGGCTTTGCTATACCTCAAGTGAAAGTGACTTGTGCAAATGTGGTGTGGAATTGTGTCTGTCTCAGCACAGCTCCGAAATAGCCGTATCAGACATGGGAAGTGCAGGGCAGGAAGGAATCCTCCGCGTGTTGTGGGGAAGGGAATGAAGGCAGTTATTGACCCTTGGTAAAGGAATGACACGTAGGATGACATAACTACATACGGGGAAAAAAACATTGACTTCTGGTGGCCGCCTTCTGTCAGCAGTGAACAGACTGAACAGGGTCAGTAGGCTGGACTTTTCGTATGGATTCTTCTTTTTCTTGTTTAATTTTATATTGAAAATTCAATACAGCAGACACTCAACATCAAGAAAAAATATATTAGCTAGAGGTGAATTGAAGAAGTGTCTTTTGTATATAAATGACACACTTTACTGTTGTTTAGTTTTAGTTCTGCACCAGGCTAATAGACTTCCCAGTCCTGCAGGTTTGGGCTTAATTTTGAAGATACTTTAGCAGTGTTTGCTCCCTAAACCAATCTTTCAATCAGTAGTTCTTCCTGAGCCCTCCCTTTATAAATGATCAGCCTGGACTGTCAGGTTGGCAGCTGGCTTGGCTAAACTGGAAATATTGCTTCACTCTTTAAGCTGTTGAGCACATTTCCCCCATCTCTCCATCCCTTTCTCCAGCAACAGAAGGGTGGTAGCAGAAGGTTTTGGTAAACAGGATGAGACAAGACTCTGAACAGCTTTCCTTTCAGAAAAGATAGACCTTTATTCTGATTTCCATGGGTCACCTGTTCTTCATACGAGGAATGCCATCTGGATGGCTTCCAGCTATGTCTTTTTTTTTCTTTTTTTAAGTAACAATTTCTTTGTCACTTTGATGTTACTTTGAGATAAACGCTATCTTTGGAAAAGATAACTGTCACTCTAATTGTTCTTTGCTATTTTTCCTCAGTGTCTAAATCCTTCAGATTTTTGACTGATGTGTTCCTCTGTTGCCCAGATAGCACTGAAATTGCATATTTCAGAGGATAAGGAAAGTTAACTACTGAATGTACTTGGTGGTGTCTGCTGCTCTTAATTCCTTGGGGGAAATTTGGCTGCTTCCTGTTTGATTTAGATGCAAAACCGATTTGATGTCAACTCCTGTATGAAAGTCTGTTTTGTGGTTTCTTGAGAAATGAGATTAAGGCAAAGGCAGTATTTGAAGCTGGGGTGGAAGGTGGCCTATGAGGCCTTTCTCCTCAGCTGCAGCTCGGTAGTGTGGTCTGTGTCCTGGTGGCTACTTACTGACTTAAGCCTTTTATTTTGCTGTGGAAAGGCCTGTTTGCCTGATGGTGTCCCCATTGAATTTTCCATGACAGAAATTTCTTATCTGTAATATAGTAATACAGTGCCATGTTACTACAACGTGTAATGCTAGTTATGTTGTCAGACAAATGAACATCAACGACTAAAAAGAAACAAAGCTCTATGAAGCTCACAAATCCCCTTGTGTACCTTTTAATAAAATCCTCAGGGCAGTGTTGGAGCAGCCTACCTGTTGATCCACCTTCCTGACTCTTCCTAACCTAAAGCCTGGAGTATAAAAAGTGGCTTAAATACCACAGCATATTTGAAATCAAGCTGTCCTTCTGTGGAATACCCATGGCCTGAGGAAAATGCCACAGGGCTGTCTTCTCTTCTCACCAGGAGGTATGTTAAACTCGCAGCAGAAAACGTTGTTACAAGTCTAGATGTGTATGTAAGCTGCTAGTTTAGCCTAACTTCTTCCTTTTCCCTCTCAAATACTCACCTGTAGAAGAGACGAAAGGCTCTCAGAACTGCAGCAACTTATTTTGACTTAGTGTATGCGTATTTGAGGGGATCTGTTGGAGTAATGTGATGTGCTGAACGTAAGTTCTCTAGATGATCAAATTGATGCTGAAAAAGAGCAGCCAGCGTAAGTGACTTCACCCAAAGATCAAGTTTTGCTTGGCTCCGTTTGCTGCCTCTATCCGGTGTGGCACAGCAGTACTGACATAGGGGATTAACTTGTGCTGCAGCATGCACAGGATCAACAGAATCTTTCTTTCTTGATGATTTTTTTCAGTGATGCCAATCTCTAAAATAAGCAAGATTTGTTCTCATCACACATTTCCTATTAAGGTCATTGGAAACTTTAAACAGCCAATTCTAGGTTTTGACTTGATAGTGGTGTCCTAAAAACGTACAATTGGTATATGCAAGGCTTGCAAATGTGAGCTTCTCACTGGTTGTAAGCCTACTCTCCTTGCAGTTGTTCATGTCTAAAAAGGATCAGCTGTACAGAGAACTGATTGCCAACAGTTCCCCTTTAAAAGTGTCTTTAACCATGGCTTTATCTTTGGTTTTGTGCTGTTTCTTTAACATACAGTAGGTGCTTTGATAACTTACATCACTGAAATGCCCTTATAAATTATCAGGGCGACTCTCCGTTCCAGGTACCTCTCCTCCTTTCTTGCACGGAGTGCTCCTTGCTCATGGGCAAGTAAGGAAACTGGCCTTGGTAGCAATGTAAAGATGTAGCGTGCTCAACATTTAACTTCTTTTCTTTTGCAGGAAGGGATTCTCACCATGGCCATAACACAGTTTCGGCTCTTTAAAATCTGTACTTGCCTGGCAGCAGTGCTTTCTTTCATTAAAAAGCTAATATGCAGGTAAACATGTTTTATATGATTAGGTAACCTTTTTTTTTTTTTTTTTTTTCTAACTGCAGGTCTTTTGTTGTTCTTTCCTTCTTACTACATGTGCCCACCTGTTTTCATAGTTGTGTTTTCAGCTAGTTACCAAGCATTCGAGGCAAATAAAACTAAATCAAATTCATTCTTGAGTCTGCATATTCTCTTGAATCTCAAAAGACTGTTATAAGTATCAGTGTATTTTGTGGAATGTCAGTTTTCGTGAGGAATGCTTTATAAATAGCTATGACAGGGTTTAAATTCACCCTTTCAAACTGTCCTGTGACAAACATGAAGACAAGCTTTTCTCTAAATTTTTAAAAGTATTTGACAAATAAATAAACAAATATATTATTCTGCTCTGTCATCAATGATTAACCTTTAACTCTTAAGTATAACTGATTCTCATCCTGCTTTCTCAAAAAACAGTTGCCTACAACATGGTTCTTATTTTTTGATTTGTGAACTTATGAAAATGACAGTGTAGTTTGTAATAGCTTTCAAAAAAAGCCCTCAAGAATCATGGCTACAAACATAGTAGTAGTAGTGTTCAGCAGTAACTGAGCTAGACCTCAGTACTGTGCTGACATCTGGACTCCTGTTTACTTCTCGTTAGCCAAAAGAGATGTTGTTTTACATAATCAACGGTTGGGAAAAAGGCATTCTGTGTATGAAGACTGCTGGTTTCCCACTGAGGTTAAGGGATATCCAAAACATGACACAAAATAGCATCTGAACCATTTATCTTCTCTTCATCTTGACTTCTTCCAAGAATAAGAAGCTTTCAGCTGACTAATAAATTCAATGTGGATCTATTTAACTTTTAAAAGGCTACATTTTAATGATGCATACGGCTGTATAGATGTAAGCCTTAGTTTTGTGAGTCAAATTCCAAATTAAATTAAGCATACTTGCTGCTTAACTTCTAAAAGAAGTCAAAACACTGATTATAATTTCTAAAACTTGTGGTCCTCTAATCTCTCAAAGTGTTAAGACAGCTTTTTAAGTAGGTAATTGTTTAGTAGGTGCACAGACACTATTTTCTTCTCTTACTAAACTTTGGAAAGAACTAAATTATTAAAATAGTTGAGGAATTGATTGGGAGTAAAAAAGTAGGAGAACTGTTCTTTGAACAATGATTAGTGAGAGATTTCAAATTTTCATCCATCCTTCAACAAGCTAATCAGTGGATCAGACTCTCAGTCCATTAACCACAGATATTTCTCCTGTTTTGTGTCAGCTTCAAAGCATAGTTTAGCAAATTTTGATTTCTTGTAACATAACACTGCATTTCCGTATGTCTGATAAAGCAGCAAATGTGATTAGTATTCAATGGAAATGAGCAAATGCTTATTCAGATTATATTGTTTAAATTCACAACTAATTTAAACTAGTATCTGTAAAGATTTGGCTGCTCATTAGTAAAGGTAAAGAAAACCAGGAGGTCTTGAGGGATTTGGCCTTTAGAGCAAGAATCAATATGTCATGTTAAATAAAATTCACATAAGCTATTTAGCGTAGACCATTTTTTTCCTTCAAGATTAGAAAGCTAATGTAAACTGTTCATATATATGTACGTGCACATATATGAAAATATATATAAAGTACTGAAATAGTGGTTTAGAGCAGTATTAGAAAAAAGTGTGTATATAAACTTACATATATACATATATATAAGTTTAAAGGACAAGGTTTTTAAGCTTGGAATTTTTTTTAGGGAATCAACTAAAATCTAGTCAGATTAAGTTAATTTTTTTTTCTTTATCCCTAAACTGAGCTTTTTTTTTTTTTCTTTTTTAATGGAATATTTTATCAATTGAAGTTAATGACATAAAACTTGAAAATAAAACCTGACCTCAGACACCTGATCTCTAAGGAAGACATCTGTTGCTGTTCAAGTAGGAAAAAGTGCTATCTAATTACTCACCTGTGTGCAGCAGAGGTACCATTACAAACAATTGAATGGTTCTGAATAGGCAGTAGAATGTTATATACTAGTAAAATAATGAATACACACTCTAAGCTGTTTCCTTGATGTGTTTTTTGTCAGTAGTAATAAGTAAATCTTGCTTTTCCAAACTGAATAAGGCCACTTTTCTGCCTGCCATGCTATAGGACGCTCTGCTTCCTGGAGAAAACATGGGAGTGTTAGGGTGAATTTCATTCCCTTGTGTCATAGGGATTTAAAATACAGCAAATGTCAACTAAATATATTTTCATTATCATTGTTATATATCACAGTATATTTCACATATATGTATATATCGCAGCAATATCACAGTGTCTTAATTATAATGTATGAGTGTTTGTCTTCAGTTAAAATTGTTTGATACAATTGCTGAAATACCTTCATTAAAACAGTATTCTTTAAGTAAGTAGAAGCATGTATTGAATAGAAGCTGCATGTTTGTATAGCTTTTTTTTTTTTGTATAATCTCTATTTAGACTTCTAAGAATAAAGGACTTTAGAGAAACTTCAAATCAAGAAGCTCAGAATATGACTTGTGAAACACAACTTAACACCTAAGACCAGTAGAAGTGTTTCCCAAAAAGCTTCCAGGGGAACTGCTTATCCTTGAACAAATATAGATCTGTAGTGCTTGTTTCTTAAGCATGGTGATCAAAAATTGAACCTGACTATAAACAAACAGTCTGCATTCAACTGTCAAACAAAGTAAGGCTCCGTAAGAAATATGAAAAGTAAATCACACTTCAAAATTCTTATGAACGTTTCCTTAAACTCTTACTGCTGATGAAATTCCTTTGTTTAGCAAGGCTCTTATAAGCAGTAGCTAATGCTAAGGTAGTTTAAACACTTAATGATTTAGTCATGACTGCTTTCAGTAGTTCTGTGCTCAGACTGCCTCTCTTTTTTAATGTAGTGCTCATGTTTTCAGAGCTTGGAGGAATCCTACGTTTTTCTTTCAGGTCTGGCAGAGGGCGAAAGTTAAGTGGAGACCAAATAACCTTGCCAACCACAGTGGATTATTCATCTGTTCCCAAACAGGTAATTGCTTAAGCTGTAGGATAACTATTAGAGTGATTATACCAATCCTGTTGTCTCAGAAATATATAATAATACAAGATTTTATTTGCAAATACTAATAACTTGTATTGTTCACTTATATTTAGCCAGAAGTAGAAGACTGGTCTTCATGGGATGAAGATGCACCTACGAGTGTGAAAATTGAGGGTGGGAATGGTAATGTGGCTGCTCAACAAAATGCTTTGGAACAAATGGAACCTGATTATTTCAAAGACATGACACCAACTATAAGAAAAACTCAAAAAGTAGGTATTGAGCTTACAACCGATGTTTTCTTTGCTTTAAAATAAGTTGTAAGTAAATCATAAAATAGATTCTTTGGGCAAATTAAACTGCCCTCCTGAAATGAGATTAGATATTGATGTCCAAGTGAATAGTCCAGTTGCAAATCCTGACTCTTGGAAATCTTTCTTGGAAATCTTGGAGATCTTGGAAATGTGTGCTGCTAGTTCACATGTAAGTCTTTGCTCTTAATGTTCCTGGAAACTTAAAAGGCACTTCATAGTCTGAATCTTCTGGAAATATAGCACAGAACTTGAAGGACCCTCCTGGGTTTCTGTTTTTTGGAATTTTTCAATTCCCAGAACAGAACCTCTGAAAGAAGATACTTGTGCACGTGCCTTTCCGCTGTTTGAAGGATCCATTCCAGCTCCTGCGCTTACCTGTGTTTGAGGTAGCTGTGCTGCTGTTTAAGAAAGGAGAATTTTGATGTTTCACCAAGTTACACTGGGAGGGTGGCATTAGGGAGTTGGTGTTTCAAAATAGCTAGATCTTCAAGGATCAAAAAAAAAGCGCACAATCTCCACAATAGTGTTAATACTACAAAAAATATTATTTAAACATGTGTTAGTTACAAGTTTATCTTCTGTGTGGTTTTCAATCATTTGGAAAACATTTTTCACCATGAAGGCAGCCAGGCACTGGAACAGGTTGGCTAGAGAGGTCACAGTCTCCATCTTTGGAAGTGTTCAGGACCCACCTGCATAAAGCCTGGAGTAACCTGGTCTCACCTCAAAGCTGACCCCGCTTTGAGTGGCTGCTTGGACTAGAGAGATTCTGTGGTCCTATGAAATGGAGATTATGCTGGAGTCAGTGTTTTGTAGATTCAGGATGTGCAGGATTCTGTGAACTGAATTACAAAATCTGGAATGGAGGAGTGGGGAAGAGGTAGACTTCTCTTTTGTATTTTATGACATTTTTCACGAAACAGTTTGAGTCTCAGATACAGAACCAAAACCCAAGAAGGGTCCATTCTTAAATTCTGTGGTTTTGATTAAGTTTAAGCACACAAATCACAGGATTGCCTGCAGACATATTAAAGATCATACCTTACAGCTCCATCCCATTACCACTTTTAAATTTGAATTTGTGGTTGTAGTTTCGCAGTGGGTGTTCTCAAGGTCTGAGGTGAAATCTGCTTGTGCTATTGCTTATGTTTGTAATGTCCAGATGAATGTCCAGTGAGAACTGTGGATCTACCTCTTTTGGAAGCAGCCAGGAAGGAGACTAATCGAAGCAAATGAGCACACTCATATTTCGAGCTTAAGACAGAAAAGGGATGCATGATCTTAGCAACCATGTTAAACTTGCTAAATATCCTTTCAGGAGAGGCATTAGTGCTTATTTTTCAGCTCAACCAGTACAGAAGCCATTGATGCACTAGTGAGTTACCTTTTGTCTATTGAAACTGAGGTTGTCTGCAGAGCAGCCCTGCAGTGTATCCGAGATAGCTCTTGTTCCAGAGCAGTTTAGCTGTTTGAGCAATGCTATCCCCACGAGGAGTAACTTACCCTGAAATATCATGGAGATCAGTCTTCTGCTGGAGAATGTGTCACTGGAAAATTAAACCAGTGCTGGGAGCAGTGGCTGTTGGATCTTTAATTCTTTCTGCCCTTGCTCTGCCTTGATGCAGTCACAGACCTCCGTGTCACCTGAGGCAAAGCTGGCTTGGGGGTAGGGGGATGAAGGCAAAGGGTGTCTTTGGTATTTTGCATTCAGCTACTTTTACTTATGAATTGATTTAGCTGTGTAGCTTTGGGCTCCTGAGCAGATTCGAGACATAGTACAGAGTTTGCATAGAACCCTTCATAGGTATCTGATCACCAAGGAGTGTGTGCAGTGCTCTAACACAGTTTTCCTCTTTTTTTTTTTTTTTCTTTTTTGAATATTTTCAGATAGTTATTAAAAAACGAGAGCCTTTAAATTTTGGGATCCCAGAGGGAAACACAGGATTCTCTAGCAGATTAGCAGCTACACAAGATATTCCTTTTATTCACCAGTCTGTAAGTATGCTCTAAATACTGACTTTTCATTTGACAGGTAAATTACTGCTCCTTAGGAGAAAGAAGGTGGTCTAAGGAGAGTAGGCGAATAGCTGGAATATTGTAAATGTTTTTAAAATTGAGTATTTTGTTCACAGCAAAAATGTAGCTGCTCCTAACTAATTTATTCTACTGATAAATTTATCAGATTAGGGGATAGAATGGTAGGAAGCCTGAACACCTGTGTATTTGCACATCTCCTAAAATGATGGACTGTAAGCTTTTGGGACTTTGCATAGTAAGTTCTCAATATGAGTAGAAGCTTGTTGGGTTTTTTGTTTGTTTATTTTTAATACGGCCTTCAACCTACCTTTCCATCTTCATTGTATGCTCTTTCCTTAAAAATATACCCAAGGTTTTGAACTTACTACCTCTGAACAAAGTGCCATAAAATATTTTTTAACATTGTGACACATTAATGCGATGCACAGAAGGGTCTGAGAACAAAGCAGTACAGGATAAAACAGGCTTAGGATAAGAGCTAGAATTATTTTCATAGTGAAAATGATTTTGAAAAGGACTTCTGAATAAAGACAGCACTCGAACAGTTTCGGTAGGGCAAATCAGTGAATGCACATGTTGGTTTGTCTATTAAGCTTCTAGAAATCTCTTAAATTATTTGCTCATCTTATCTGCTCAATTTACTGCCCCTTTCCTAAAAATGTATTTCAGTATTTTCATCCATCCTTCTCTAGCAGTGAAGAATCCGAAAAGGTATACCAAAAACAAGCTGAAAAAAGTCATTACTGGAACATGGGAAAACTGTCATTGTGCTACCACATAGCACTGTTATGTGTCAAAGGTTTCTGGAAATCTTAAGCCCCAGATTTAAAAACAAAAGTGCTTTTATCTCAGATATCCTGCCTGTGATTATAGAGCTTTTATTTGTCTTGTTTCAGCCTGAATTAGGAGACCTGGATACCTGGCAAGAAAATACTAATGCTTGGGAAGAAGAGGAAGATGCTGCCTGGCAGGCAGAAGAAGTTCTTAGGTAAATGAAAATAGGGTAACACAGTATTGCTTTGCTCCAGGCTAAACAATTCTTAAGATAAATTACTTTTATGTGTCTGGTCTATATATAGACAAAGCAGTATAACTGCTGCAGTTGAAGAATACATTTTTTATCTAATCCAGTTGATTAAGTATCACAAATAGTGGAGAAAATCTGAGAATTACTAGAACTGGGAATGTTAAATTTAAAAATTTCACTATGTAAAAATATATTTCAACTCCATTAAGCAAAATACTTCTGAATGTCCTTAAAGATCATAACCTGATGTTATCAACTAAAAAATGTTTGAGATTAGAAGAAGGGATAAGAAAATATATTTTTGGAGTCCTTTGGAAATGCTGTGCTTCTCCAGCTAACTTAGCTCGCCTAAAATGCTTGTATACAAAATGAATGATTTGTAGAAAATCAGTATGATACCTCATTTGTTCTTGTATCCCGTTCTTCTCAGTTAAGTTTCATTTCAAGGTTATCAAATCAGAATTGCTTGCTACATGATCAGAGAATCTGTATCAGATGGCTCCAACGTCATTAATCTGCTTCCACTTCAGCCTTAAAATCATTAATCTGTGGTATGTGTGACAATTGTGAAATAATTACAGAATTTTCTTTTTTTTTTGAAGAAAAAGTATTTTGCAGAAAGGATTCTGATCTATTTATTGTAGCATTTTATGTGAAATTTACTTTCTTAAAAAGAGTAAGAGGAAAGGGATGTTGCTGGTGAGCTTCCGTTGAATTAATGTTGATAAACTCTACTAATTCTGCTGCTGCCAAACTTGCCTGGCAGCAACTTGTGAAAATGGAGCTGCAGATAAGTACTTCTGTGAACTGAATCTGATACTTTCAGCTGCACAGTCTAGTCAGCATCTTGTTTTTTCTCTCCCACTAATGAAACTGTTTCAGGTTCTGTCTTGCACTAATGTATCACAGAGGTACAAATCATGTGGTATGTCTGAATGACATCCCTTTGGGGTCATCTTGTTCTGAGGATGGTGTTTTTTTCTGTGAGCAATATCGACAGGCGCAAGTGAGATTATTTTTGAAGCTCAGTACACTGAGCTTTCACTTTTCCTTCTGGTGCATCAGTAACACCTCCCTCCCCTCTTTTTGAATTGAAAATGAACTACAACTACTTTTGCTGACTATGGATTCCACACTAATTTGCTAAAATGGTACTACATTACATTAGAAGGGCTTAATTGTTTTAAGAATGAAAATAATAAGAACTTAACCTTTCCCAGGCTTGGACTTGTCATATAAAAAGTAGCTACTAAAAGCTGGTATGGACATGTGCCAATTTATATATGGAGTATAAAATTTAATAATATGCAGATTTTTGAGGTGGTGAAGGGCATGTTGGTTTGCAACTGTTAGGCTCATGCTCTGCAATACTGAGAGATGTTCAGATTTAGGCTTCCGGAGATCTCTCATGCAGTAGAAGCAATGAAGTTTCATCCAGACTTTGTTTTCAGAAATATCAGTTTATTAGGCTAAACTTCTTTTTTTTTTTTTTAACTATTGTATCTGCACCTCAAGTGGTTAATTCTGAGAGTTACTGGTGGAGAGGGACAATTCTCTACTTGTTGCAGTAGGAATATGTGCATATACATATATCTATATCTATATACACACACACACACACACACATATATATATGCAGATATATGCGCCCCCACAGGTATGTGCTTGTTTATGCATATACCTATATTGCAAGTAAACAGAGCAAGAGCAGGATCAGGACCGTAGCCACGTGTATGACAGACCTCTTGGGCCAGCTATGAATGGCTGCTTTGGTACAACTGGCCACTGTGGGTTGTATCCCAGCTGTGAAATCAAAGCGTTGTTTAATTTATGACATGTCACTCGGATTACTACATTTTTCTGTAACTGAAAATGCAGTCAGGCTTTTAGCAAGAGCAATAGGAAGCATCTTCTGGGTTTAGGAGCTCTCTTGGAGTAGAGACCTTGATGTATTTGATTTCTGATGCTTAACATGTAAGAGTTCATGTTACTTGGTAGGCCTGGCTCCGTCTTCCACAGATTGTATTCATTAGGGAATCTCAAGTCTGTTCCTAACGCTAAAAGACAAACTTCTTGGCCTATGAAATGCTCTGAAGCTCTTAGACTCATAGTTGTTGCACACAGTTTGCCTAGCCCTCCAGAGAAGGCTAATAGGAAGATTATTCCAGCAGTGCTCATCAAAAATGGAGTGAGTGTTTTTAACATAAAAATAAGGATCTCCATTGGTTAGGTATGTCTAGATACCTACTGGTGCCCAGCTAGTATTCAAAATTGTCTTAGATTTGAATCCTCTGTAGAGGACTGGAGTGGTGATCGTGCTACTATGGGCTGTAACTTCCTAAATAGCAGAAGGTCTATGTATACATTAGTTGAAACATATATAGCAGGCCCCGGCCTTCCTGGAAACCCAAGCGCAGGTAAATGCTGGAAAAGACCAGAATGGAGGAGGCTGCTGCAGCCCGAGAGGTCTGTGCCATCTGCTTTGCTTTGGAGCACTGGAATTCCTTCTAGTTGGTGGGAGATCAGTGTGGGGCAGTAATTTGGCTTTCCGTTTTCTCTAGAATTAATTCAAGTTAGATTCTCTAATACTAGTGAAGAGTTTTCCAGCATATAGTTAAGCTAATTGCTGCTCGGTTTAGTAAGCAGCTATGTGTAAAATAAGTTGTGTGTGTAAATTTTTAAGTTTTTTGGTTTTGTTTTGCTTTTTTGCCTTTTTCCTGTTTAAGACAAATAGCAAATTACAGGAAATCATACATCAGTTGTTCAGAATTACATGGTAATTCAAAACACATGGGATTAAGAATATCTTTCTGCTGACTTTGGGTTATAATTTTATACAGTTTGTACTTTAGTATTCTGCCTCTACTAACCAGTGGGAAATTTTTTTTTTTGGAGTGTAGCTCACGTTCTAAATGCAAAGCAAGATTAATATCAGTGGGTGAATGTCTTTTTCGGCCACAAGCAACTTACATCATTCAACTCTTCTTGAGAGTCAATTCTCCTTGCTGTGGAACCCCCAGGAGTGAGCCACATATGGACATAGTTCATTATAGAAAGTTTACTGAGAAACAAAAACTTTCTGAGCCTGAAAGATAGTGATTTTATGTTGAGAACAGGAAGCCAG